TTATATGAACCAGTCTTACTTGAAACAAATTTACTTGAAGCATACTTTACATGAATCAGTCTTACTTGAAACAATTTTAGAAACTATTCCAGACCATGATATCGTGCTTGCAACTCCAGAAGTTTTCATTAACGAACACGGAATCTGCGGCAGTTTTTTCGAACCAAATGAAAATAATAGTAATTTTATTTGTGATTACACAATAGATGTTGAATGTGACGACATTAACGATCTTTTTGAAAATTTGTATGTTGATCTAAATATTAAGGGTTCTGATATCGAACCCGATAGTGACATACTTATAATGGATGTCGATAAGTTAAAAGACTGTCTTGCAAATAATGTTTATACATTGAGATATACACGTGATTCTGCCAACATTATTATTGACAAACATAGTAATGACAAACACGACGTATTCATGTTCCCTGACGCGAATCACACTAAAAAAATCATAAAACGATATTCAATTTTTGACAGACTTTTTAGAGTGTTTCTTGATATATGCCATGGATCGGCAGATAAACGATTTGGTCAGGATACACTGAACTACGAGTCGATAAGTAAAACTATTTCGTATATGTTGTATGATAAACAGCACGCGGAATCTTCTCCCGAAAAATACAAGGGATATGATAATATTTATCACAAAATTGTTGCTAATGGAATTTTAAATACAACATACTTAAAAAGGGCCGATTTATTTGAGGCTCTAAAAACCCAATACAAAAACACACATTCGTTAAATGACATTGACCACGAGTTAGTTAAAATTGATATGTCTAATACTGTATTCATTTACTATTTTAAATACAAACCGGTTTTAACAAATAAAACATCAAATTGGGTAAATGAGGATGATTTTGACAATGAATGTAACAACAAAAGCACAATAATTTGCATAAGAATATTGCAAAATAAGTAAAAACAATTTTTCTATATAAATCAAAAAGTAACATTAATAATATCATTAAATATATATGGATAAAAAGAACTTTAACTACATAATTTTTCATAAAGGTTGTCTTGATGGGTTTTCTGGTTTTTTTGTTGCTTATATTTCAAGTAGACTAAGTAAAGATGTGATAATATATGAGGATGTTCCATCAACAATTAAAATCCCCCCAGATATCGATGGCAAAAACGTTATAATAATTGACGTGGCTTACAAAAAGAACGTACTGGAAGAAATATTTAAGTATGCCAGGTCAGTTGTGTTTATTGATCATCATGTCAGTATTAAAGATGATGTTGCGGAACTTTATAAAAAATACAACAATATTTCTATTCAGACAAAAAAAGCAGACATCGGTTACGGTTCAAAAAAAACTGATAACATCACCATTAAATACGATGACACTAAATGCGGGTCGACATTGGCATGGAGGTATTTTTTTAGCAGGCAAAAAATACCTTTATTTTTAAAATATGTCGAAGATCAGGATACTGGACAGTGGATATACCCAAAAACAAAACCTTTTATTTATGCTCTTAGAACTTATTATAAACTTAATACGGATAACAAAACTTTAAACAAATGGACTAAATTATTAAACAAGGAAAATGTGGCAAAACTAATTAAAAAAGGAAAATACATGAAACGATATAATGACCATTTAGTTAGTACTAATGTTCCAAAACACACAATAGAAAAATTCCCTTCAAAAAAGGTATACGCAATGAATCCAAAAATTTTTGTTAAACCGGGGCAATATAAAGTCGCCGTTTATTGCGGACATAACTGTCCTACTGTTACAGACTTGGGCAACGGCGCTTTAGAAAGAATGCCCGATATTGATTTTTGTATTATGTGGGTTTATAATTTGGACAGTAAAAGATATGTTTTAAGTATCAGATCGAGGGAAATTGATGTATCCGAAATATGTAAAATTTTTAATGGGGGAGGTCACAAGCTTGCAGCCGCATGCTCTTTTAGTTCGTCTTTAATGCGAATTGAAGATGTGTTTGAGGGATCTTCTTTACCAAGAACAATATAATACAACTGCATGTTTGCCTTGCCTTTGTGCACTAATTTTGTTAAAAAATAGTTTAATTAATTTATTATTTTTTGACAAAATATGTTGACTTAGTATTGATGTGTACTTTTTAATGTTAATCAACGTAAAATAAAAAAACTTGTATTGACAATAACACATACCGCTTTAGTCTTCAACCCTAACCCCTAACCCCAAAAAAATTTCTTAAAAACGTAAATAATATTAACTGAAATTATAACTGAATCCGTAGAGTTCGAATAGACTAATAAAAATTGTTTGTGAATGTGATGATTCAAACAAATCTTTAATAACATCACTGTCATTTGAAAGAATCATGTCGAGTGATTTTTTTACATCTGCTTCTTTATATACAGCGTCAAGCATATTTTTAATAATTTTGGTTATTTTTATTTTGTTGTCGACCGTGTCCTTTTTGGCATTACCGCAAGTTTCGACAATAATGTTACAAACCATTTCGTTCGTGTTGTATTTGTTTTTCTCCTCATTACAACGATAGGTCCAGTCATCAATATAATCTTTTTTTGCCATTTCATCCTCCTCCTTGTTGATCGCCTCCAATTTAATATAAAATTTCTTGTATGTGTCCGGTTTAATTATGTCATAAATATCCTTCTCTTCTTTGCTTTCGGTTTTATTTACACCCTTATTCACAGGGTCCTTGATATTAAGTGGTTTGAGCCATTTATTATATTGCGGTCCGGTTGCTGCCATTTTTTCTATATTTATATTGGGTTTATTATTTGATGGAAGAACAATCTCATTAATTTTGCCCAGATCAAAACCCATATCAATACCCCGTGTTAATGCGTTTGAGATGCGGACTATTGTCGATTTATTAAATTTTTTGACATTTTCCGAAAAAAAATTCAGTAAACACTCACGGATTTCTTTGGGAAAAGCCTTTAACTTTCCCTCCCTTTTTTTTTTACACATATCATTAATAAGGTGAGATATGGCCATTTCGGTCATTACCTGAATGCAATCATTTTCAATTTCTTGTACTTTTATATGATTTATGAAATCGACAAATATTTTATTATTACCAAGAATAACTGCGGCCTCTCCGACAATTGACCCAATTATACCCGGGGCAATAGAATACTTGTCATCATCCACCTTATTTAAATAAACCGCCATTACATTGGGAATACTCTTAATAGCATGATCGTGTATTTTTCTAATTAATTCCAAAAATGTTTTTTCCCCAAATTCCAACTTCTCGAAACCGTCTTCCCCACTCACATATTTCCCAAGAATGTTCGCATAATTGCCATTTTTATTTATTTCGGCGTTAAACATTTTACGATAGTGTTCAAGACGATCAATGACCAAAACATAACAACCGTCATTACCCCCCCCCATTTATTCCCCGGGCTCGGGGATTGATAACAAGCATACTATCTATAATATTTTCAACAAGAAACTTGGGATTGTTTGCATAAAGGACTTTAAACATGTCTGAGAAGTTTTTCCAATTTGTAGAACTTAATTTATTATTGAAACTGGTCATCATTGAATTTAAATCACCGGCATTAATATCACAACCGCTTAGTATTTTCTTGATTTCATCATTTAAAATAGATTTGCCCATTTTGCATGCCTTTTTGTAACTTGCCAACGCCGTATCTTCATCTGCATTTTTGTCGAGAACGTTGAAATCACACATTTTAATTAATGCGCGTAGTGCTTTTCCATATTCCTCCATGTTAAATTGATACGTATCTATTTTGTAGGTACCGTTTTCACTACCAAACCAAATAAAGGAATCTAATAATCCGTAGCCATAAGAATCTTTAGTAAATTTACCGTTAGTCTTAATCTTATCGAAGAGTACTTTAAGACTTTCAATATACTCAACTTGCCCTTCAGGCAACCATGGAACGTATTTTATAACACAGTTAAGGGCTGTTGCTAACAACTCAAGACGCTCTTTCTTACTTTCTTCGCTTATTTTTTTTTCTTTTATGATACTATCCACTTCGTCTTCAATAAATTTAACGCTAATATGGTTCACGTTTAAAAATTTTGTATCTCCTTCTTTTGTTTCCTTTTTATTGCAAATACGCTCTCTGCATGCTTTGGTAAACCCTTTTATGTGTCTCTCAAGATCCGAGTTATCTTTTATTGGGCTGTTTTGGGAATGTTTATCACCATTCTTTGGGGGGGAAAATCGCTTGCCGTTTTTTATATTATTTTGAGGATACCTGCTATTATTTCTGTTATTTTGGGAATTCCCGCTATTATTTGGAGGATACCCACTATTTCTGTTATTTTGGTGATTCCCGCTATTATTTGGAGGATACCCACTATTATTTCTGTTATTTTGGGAATTCCCGCTATTATTTGGAGGATACCTACTATTATTTCTGTTATTTTGGGAATTCCCGCTATTATTTGGAGGATACCCACTATTTCTGTTATTTTGGGGATATCCTGGCCCCATGTCCCCTTTTCCATATATAGGGGGATTTTTTTTGATTCTATTCACTATACTAAAGCCGTCATCCTTATTTTCATCTTCATTATTTTTATCATCATCATCATTTTCAAAATCGCGCTCTGAATAATTCTGCATAGGTCCTTTCATAGACATCTTCAACAGATATTAAAAGGAAATTTGTATTGTTGTTGTTTAAGGAAATAATAGACATATGCCAAAATCAATTTTTTTGTTATTGTTGTGATAAAAATTAAATGTCGTATTTGGTAATATAACAATAACAGGGGTGGAAGATTAAGATAATGTGATCATGATTAACCAACTGTGTTTGTTTTTCGCCAATTTATATTATAACTATTTAATTGTAAATTTGGTTTAACTGCATTTTTTATTTGTTTATGATATTGTTGTGTTTTTTTCGACAAATCATATTGACTTATTTTTTAATATTAACCAATATAAATACGCAAATAATTTAAAAATAATCTAAAATCACACAAAGTTGTTTCATTTTACATTTTAGGCAAGTTAAATAAAAAGAACGTATATTGACAATGTAATTTATTTATATTTGTTTACACCCTTGAAGATTTAAAATGAGACAACATTATGTTAGTAATGAATAGTTATAAGTTCTATAGCGATTTACTCCCTTACTTCAATATAGGTATTTTGTTGTAAAAACATTAATGCCAATATAATATAACGAGGACTAAAAACTAATCAGTTGTAGTTGTCGCTACAACATAATCATAATTTACATATTCCTGTAATGGATAAACATTTTAGATTTTAATGGGATTTTTGTCTCATTTTATTATAAATCTTCAAGGGTGTAAACAGCCCCTCACAAACGTAATTAGCGCTTTTACATTTTTGTATATTTTTTTGTCGTTAAGTCGGCGTTTTAAATGTGCAAAGGTGTAAAAAGATAAAACCGGGAAATTAATATAACGACGGTTTGTTACCTATCCATTATTATTAGTCATATATGTTTTTAATTTAAGTTGTGGTTTATTCATTTACAAATGCGGTAAAAACAAGGATCTCATGAACATTACCGACGATGTTGATAAGTCTAATAGTCAACTCTTGAATTAGTTCCTCAATGTTATGTTCTTTTAGCCAACGACCGATAACTTTGTCAGGATCCTCTTCTTCGTCAAGTTGAAGAATAGGAAAACTCAACTTATAGTGTGTGTCGGTTTTGTTCATTACCATCAACATTGTAAGATCTTTGACCTGGGTTCGACATTTTGATACCGAACGGTCTGTATATGAAACATCCGCATATGCCAGACATTGGGCCGATTCAACACTTTCATCAGGAACAACATATTTTTTATATATGTCGATATCGTCATCGCCAATTATATCATTATTGTTATTTTCGTCTAGCCTGTTTTTTTTAATTTGATTTATCGCATCTTCTTTTAATATTGTTTGTATATGTTCGCCATCCAATATATCTGTACATGGCGTACATATATTGTGTTTGATATAGATTGATTTATTCGGGGTTTTTTCTAAATTATATGGTTTGTTTGGTTTATTTTTTATAGACGCATTTAAACCCCCAGTTATGTCAAAATTAAGTTTATCGGCTATTTTACCAATAATATCAGCATTGCCCAAAAAGATGAGATACATGAAATCGGCGGCTATTATTTTTGTTGTTTCTCCACTGTCCATTCTATTCTATTATATTCTATTATATATCCACATTATAATGATTTAAAATTATTAGTATTGGGTTCTAAATAACACGTTAAAATTTTGAATTTATAACACATTAATGCTAACTCTTATAAATAATAAAACACGATACCATTTAAACAATAAACCAGTTTATTATTCTTACATGTCATCCTCGGAACAAAATTCAACAACTCAGTCAGTCGAGTCAAATGGACCTATTGAGTATGAGCACATCGAGCCTGCTAAATTAGTTAAATCTAAAATTGCGCAACCTGACGCAAAACAAATCATGCCAAACATGAAAAAAGTGAGCTATGATAATATCGGCCTTGATGTCGTGTTATTTAACAGAACATTTACAAGAAATAAGGGAACTCTTTCACAGGTTGTTAAAAGTCTTTCAGATATGCACGACCGACTCGCTGATCCAATTAATGATTATCAAAAAGGTTTATATCCTCAAATTCGCCAAGAGTGTGTAAGTCTTGTCAAAGCATACGAAGATATTGTGGGCAAGGTTGATAAATCGGATTATAATATATTTGGATATTATTTAAACGGACCCCAAAATAACGGAAAACGTCGAGCTACCGCAATAAAACATGAGCTAAAAAGTTATGGTGTAAGTGAATATCAAGAAACCATCAGAACTATTGACGATCGTCTTAAACACATCAAATCTAACTGCCTTCGAAAAACTTTTGACACAATCGGATCAGATTCAGATTCAGGTTCGGGGCAAGAGATTTATAAACGAGTCATAGAATTTTGCGACGAATTTCACAAAATCATTACAACGCATCACGCGCAATGGAAAATATTTATGGAAAATTATCGCAGTACCAATGGAATCACAACCAATGTTTTTAACAATCTTAAAAAAAACGAAAATAAAAGGCGTGACTTAGCAAACAAAAATCCCAAATTCCACAAAAACAGTGGCGACCCTAATTTAGGCACAAAAATGAAAAACACCAACACGGCATCTAACTAAACGTTTTTTTATTAAAAAACACTAGGGTGACATAAATTATATTGTCAATATGCATTCTTTTTTTATTTAATTTATCTAAAATGAAAATGAAACGGTTATTTAAGAAGAAATATTTTTAAATTACCCGCGTGTTTATTTTAATTAATTTAACATAATTTGTCAAAAAATAGAAAAAACACATTAAAACAAAAATTTTAGTAAAATGACTATAAGTTGGTAAAATAACTGGTATAACTAATTAACCATCATGTAAAAATTTGAACATTTGTTTGGTTTATAAAATACAGTACGCAAATTCAATTAAGAATACAAATGCAAATACAAATGCAAATACAAATACAAATGCAAATGCAACTTTAATAGACGCAATAGTAAAAAATGGGAGATAATATTAAAAAAATGTCAAATATCATAGTACATTCAGGGATAATGCATACAGAGGAAATGAAAATCATATTATATAAATTAGGTAACAATTTGACAGTTGAAAATGCAAAATATATTATAAATTATATGGATCTTCAACCAAAAGAATATGCTGTGTTAATTAATAGGGAATACAGAATTGACGGATTCCACCTAATTGATAATTTGTATAAAAAACATTTTATTAAGGGGGATGATTATGTCTTCGGCTTGTTTTTTAGCATTTTAGAAGGATTCATTAACAGAGATTTGGCCATATCCACTATCCAGTTAATTATGGAATTGATTAACAAACACAATATGAAAAAAAATGATCAGGTGTGTCCGTGTCCGAATGACTCGGTGCAATCAATTGGTAAAAAATTACACGCATTTCATCAAATAACTGGACAGCAAGTAAAAAACAAAGACCAATGTGCGATATGTAATGAAACATACCCGGGGAACTGCGCAATTATTGGTATTGGTGTTAAATTGTTTTGGGTCATATGCGGTGATTGTTTTTCGTCTGGTGACGCAAAAAAATGTTTAATTAAATACTTTGTTGACAAAAAAATTATTCCGCTTTTATGGATAAAAGAGGACACGAAGCTGGCATTTTATTGCGACCACGTGTTTGGATTTTATAATGGATTTCTTGATTTCGACATAATCGCGATTACTTGTGAAAATCCAAAGGGGGAATATTTCATAAATTTGAGTTTTAGGGATTCAAACGGCAAAATACAAAAAAGGCGTGTTTCAGTCGAAAACGTATTTACTAACAATCCGCAGTTTTACGAAAATTTGGTCAACTGTGAAAACATTCTGGGTAACGAACTAATTAATATCGGATATAATGACCTTTCCGAAGAACTTCGTAAAGAATTTCGCGACATTGATAGCAATGTTAAAGGTAAAGCCTGTGATTTTTTTAAACATTAGTTATTATTTTTTTAATAAATAACGGATTTTTTTCCAATACACTAATTATTTTGACCCACCACCCGTTGACGATGATGATGATGATGATGATGCGGCAGTTGTTGCAGAAAGCGCCGGGCCACAACATATAGAAAAAATGCAACAACAAATAACAATTACACAAATCGCGCAAATCCATATTGAAACACCAGATCCACTTCCACAACCGGGGCACGGGCATGACGGACATCCGGTGATACCGACTGATTCAGCAACTCCCGAAACAACGTTTTTCATATAGTTTGCCGCTTCGCCGGTTGTTTCGTTTTTTACAACCACGTTCATTGCATTACCTGCATCATTTATAATTTTTTGAACTGTGCCTGAATTATTTACACATTTAACAACCGAAGATATACTTGCATTTTGTTCCAGATTTTTAACATTTAGACTTCCATCAGCCTCACATTTTGAAAAGTCTTGCCTTTGGTCAATTGCGGCTCTATTAATACATTCTTGAATCGACTCAACATTAAAGTTTGCTTGGACACTGTTTGCTATAACATTTTGAATATGCTGATTAGTGTCATTAACAACTTTTAAATTATATTTGTTATTGACATTTGTTTTTGTTTTCGTTGGACTGCCGAATATCCCTGATGATTTAGCGATATTTTCTGCTATAGTATTCATATCGCTAAGGGATTTTGCATTCATTTTACTTTGTAAATCATTGGCTAACTCTGAAAGCAGAGATTGTGCCATTTCTTGTTCTGCTTTAAATGCATTAATACAACTAAAGTCAACGGTTATAATTGCCGATTGTTTAACCCCGTCAATATTAATATCTCCGCCAACTTTACATCCATGAAAATCTATATTTTGGTTAATTTCATTGATAGCACTACACGTCGCGCCATTTTTTATTAGGGCATTTGCAACAGCCTCATTAGAATTTTTGTTAAGAATATCAACTGTTGATTTGTTTATAAATGTTTGATTTGTCGTATTATTGGTGGAAGATTTAGAACTTCTATTTCCCATATTATATTTCGTTTATAAATTATTTTAAATTATAATTAAAATGGATTTAATTGTACGGATGTGACTTCAAAATTGATAAGTCTGGCGTCAGAGTAATCAATACCGTTAATATATTTTTTTCCTATACATGCCGATTCCGGTGAATCTAGTCTGGTCGAGTTACATTGTTTATAATCGTCGGGTATAATCCCTATCGGGTAAAACCTCGGTTTATTATTGTAAATGCTTTTTGGTTTTGATTCTGACTTTAAATCGACATGTTGATCTGCGTTGATATTAATTACCCCAGGTATTGCGTTTTTTTCGTTTAATGAAGGATCAGTATATCCGTCAAATCTAGCCAGCCAACATTTTATATTATTATACGGAACATTATTATCGTCTTTAAAGTCCCCATATATGTAGAGATTGACAACCGGATCCAAATGAACAATATTAGTGTTGTTATTTCCATAATACAAAAACGTGTCATCAAATTTACTTAATATGTCGTTTACACTTACACTTACACTTAACATGTTATTTTTATTTGGCATATTTACACTGTATATCTGGTCAATTGGTGGAGTAACCGTAAAAGCATATATATCGGAGTATTTTGTATTAGAAGAATTTTGTATTCCGCATACAAACTTTTTATCGTTTTCTATCTTTGACATTTTTGTTGTAATTTTTGGTTTTGTTATACTATCAACATCATATACCGATTCTAGACGTTCCCTTAAAATGGTAAACAGCGAAAAGTTTCTTGTTAAATCTATAATGTAGGGAACTTCTGAGGGCAGTTTTTTTATATTAAATGTTTGTTCTTTTGTTATGCCAGCCAGTATATAACACGGTTTTTCAGTATTTAACATGTCGTGTTTTAATTCCAATTCTGATTCTGATTCTAACTCCGGTTCTGATTCCGACTCTGTCTTTGTTGACGTTAATGTTGATATTGGTATTGTTGGGAGAACATCAAAAATAGAGATTCCAACAACATTACTTGTGGGTGCCTTTCTAACCATAGATAAATGGTGAATATATCTTGGGAGAATTGTTTGTTTGAGTATTTTTTGTACATGGGTCTCGCTCTCTTTCTCGCCATCGCTGCCAATAGAATTTGACTCTGTCTGATTTGCGGATTTGTCATTGACAATATGATTAGTTAAGTCCCCGTTTTTTGATACATGGTTGGTGTTTGTAATATTTAAAATATCGGTGACCACGGGTTTTGTTTTCCCAATTAAATCAGATCCATCAGTCAAAGAAGCAATAATATTGCCAAACCCCTCGATACCCTTTTGCAAATTTTTTTGGGAATTATCTGCAGCATTAAGAGTTTTGGTAACGGCCTTAGACACATCTGCGTAAGAGCGACTTATAAAAGACCTATATTCCTCGTCAAGTAAATCCTCCCTAATCAGAACAGGTACAACATAGTTTGTTGAACCATGGCCATTACAGATACCTGGTTTGTCCGAGTCAATTTTTGCAATTAAATTTGTTTTTTTATATAACAATTCTTGTTCAGTAAAGGATTTCATTACAAGATAATACTTAATTCCATCAATAGTAGTTTTTAAGACCAAAAATCTGTTATCTGGAACAGTTAGGCTTTTAAACAAATGCCCTGATTCAACATTGTTAAAGTTTTTGCCCATAACAATAGTTTTCATAACAAATGTCTGGTAAAACATGTCAAAACTCATTGTTTGGTTTTTTGTTTGATCAACATCTAAATTCGTTGAATTCATTGAATTAATTGGACTTATTATGTCAAAGCGTTCCCTTATTAGATTTTCGAGTCTACTGCTAATACCCACATAAATAATGTACGATGAATATATAATGACCGCAATCGTTGTAATCACAATAAGTGGGTTTTCGTTATAAATGTTGATAAATCGTTCGCCACTAAAAAAGTCCGCTAAATCGATCTTGTTTATTCTAAGAAGAAAATACAAAAGTGTTAATAATATTAGTGTTCCAACAACCGGGTTCTCTGTCAGAAGGTAAAACATTATACTACTTATTTCACATAATAATTACAAAAATTTAAAAAAATTATTAATTACAATTACATCAAGTTGCTTTATACAACCCCCATATTATAAGAACCAAAAACAATAATCCGACAATCACAGTAACAACAATTATAACTGTAACTGTAACTGTTTTTGTCGGTTTTGCAAAAAGATCACTTATCGATTTATTCGTTTTTTCAACAGGTTCCGTGGTCGTATTGTCTTTAGTCGTATTGTCTTTAGTCGTATTACTTGAATTAGTTACATTTTCTTTATTTTGTTCCGACCCCGTCGTGTTTATATTTACAGTGTTTTTGCTTAAATTAATGCCTTTTGACATACATTCATTTTTCATTTCAGGTGAAACAACAATATTGCCTCCGGCTTGGGCACCCGACAAATCGATAATTTGACTACATAATGTTACCGAACTGGGACATTCACCCCTAGATCTGTTATCAAGATATACAGTGCCGTTGTCATTATTTGCGGTATTGCAGTTTGTTGCCTTAAAACATAGAGGACCGTAATTCAATGTTTGCGGAATTGACGCATCTGGGCTAAAACATGCGCATTCGGGTTTGTATTGCGAAACAAATTTTTTGTTGTCGGGTTTTTGGTTTGGATAGGTTGATGTATATTCGTCATTAAAAAACGCTAGCATATTTGCACAATACACTTCGTAAAAATCATCACATGGACTATTGTATGTAGGATCATTTTTAACAGGTTTAATGTAGTCAGCTTTGCCATTAGCTGTTAAAAGGTTTTTGCATAATGACGATGGAACATTTACGACTTTGTCAATATATCCAAACTTTTTATTTATGTCGGGAATACCACTCAAATAGTTCTTAGGAATGGGTATTCTGACATTAACATTAAATTTGTCGGAATTTGTTCCTCCTAAACAACACGCTCTCTTGATCGTTGTATTAGACAAAATGTTATCAAGATTGTTTTTAACCTGGTCATCTGTCGGAGTTCCTAATTTAAACAGTCGGTTCCTCCAGTAATTCAATTGTTCAGGAGTTGTTAGATTATTTTTTATTGACGCATTTGCTAAGGCGTCAACTACTGTATTATTAGAAAAACCAATACTTCCCATATTGACGTATTTCGTTATACAACAGAAACATAAATTATTTGTATTTTTAATATAAATATTCGTACTGTGTTAATTTAATAAAAAAACACATGTCGTTTATTTGTTATAATGAAATCAATATTTGCAAAAAGAAAATCGGATTACAGGAGCGATAAAATCGTGTCAAAACATCATAATATCATCGAAAATTTTTCAAACAATGAAAGCGAAACAAACAAAATTAATCTATTGTTAGAAGATATCAAACAATCTATTCCACCAAATTCATGTAAAACGCCTTTAACTGATATTCAAAATAACACAGAATGGAGATGGAGATTTTATGACATAGATGGACGTAAAATGGTTGAAATAAGTAAAAAAGATCCAGGAAAACAAAGAGAGTTTATTGATAACACCGGAAAATGGACAAACTTTTTTCTCGACACAACTTGGGATAAATATATTGTCGACACGTTGTATTATTATGCTAGATATTAGCGATTTTTAAATAACGCCTCTGACTATTTTATGTAGTCGTTACAATTGTGGTTACAATTAGTGTTTGAGCATACATGGTCACATGTATCACATTTATTACAGTTTGACATGACGCTTTCAAAATCTGCGAATGCGTCATTTTCTTTTGGATTAGAAATATTGGAAATAACAGGCATTGGCTCTTCTTCTGGTTTGTAAAGATATCTTCTAACCATTATTGTCATTAAAAGTTTGTGTTTGTAATGTTCTACTGGTACTAAATTAATAAAATCCTCAGGTTTCATGAAACGAATGTCGTCAACTGTCATGCCCTCTAAATACACTTTACAGATTTCACTAAAACGATTGCTCTGTTCATTTATGAAATCCAAAAATTGTTTTGGATCCTGATCAAGTTGTTGTTGTATCGGCTTTTTTACCAATGAACTAGTCATTCTTTTTTTATAAGAATTAAAATTCATTCGCAATTATTTTATTATATTACAGGTTAAAATAATTACTGAATGTTTTGTTGATGCATTTGTTATAAAAAAATTGAGTAATTTTAAAAAACATAGAATGTGGAAATATAACTATAAAATTGTCCACATTCAAATCTAAAGATAATAATAAAAGTTACGATGATTGGGATAAAGTATTTGATTTTTATGGGCCGGTTCGAATTTAACAAAAAGTTCTGATTTTACCAAAAACACCCTATAAAAATAAAAATAAAAATAAAAATAAAACTTGAATACACTAATGACAATTATGACAAGTATTATTTTATAAAATAAAATAAAAAAAGCAAAATCTTAAACCATTATAAATTGTTTAAGATTTGGTTTTTCCCATTTGTGGTTTTTTAGGATTTTTGTCACATTTTTTTCTAATTCATTGAAAACAATAAAATACTGCCCTTTTGTTTTAATACCAGGGTTTTTATATCGTCCATCTTTTTTGTAAAACTCGAGCGACTCATTTGCATCTTCAATGTTTAAACATACTTTTGTCATATTTGATCTATGGACTTCTCTAAACATTAAATCCATATTTCCACCCATTTCGTGACCAAGGTCATACACGACCTGAAGAATTTTTACAAGACTATGTCCAATAATATCAAAATCACGTGTATCAATCGACTCACAAAAGTCCCTCACAGCTTTATCAATAAGTCCAATTTTATTTATATAAATTTCAAACACTTTTTCAGTGTCCATGTACAATTCGGAGTCAAATTTTATCGACATTTTTTCTTTTAACATCAGTTCATCTAGATTAATACCAAAGCAATGACCAGCACCATACGTAACATAAGATATGTCACATAAAGCGTCAAAAATTTCGATAATATCTCTATTATCAAAAGCATTTTTTAACTCATTAAGTTCTTCTTGGATTAATTGAATTCTAAATAATATCAGTCCGGGTTCTAATATACACGGATTGGTATTAATTGGGTGCCCATACACATCATGAAATTCACCAACAAGTTGAAAATGAGACATTATGTTTTTATTAATTTCTATTGACATTATCAAATAATTGTATGCTACTATATTTAAAATTTAGTGCAAAAAATAATTATAAATCAATTTTTTGTATTAAATTTTAAACATCTGCAAGCCTGTTGTTTTTATTAGGTTATAATTTACGTATAATGTATATGGGTAAAAGATTTAGACTGTAATTTATCCATTATGATTTTGCGTATTTATATTGATTAATATTAAAAATTAAAGTAAACAATTACCAATAACAACGTTAAATTAAACCTTTTTTTAATAAAACAATTATAAATTTGTGAAATACTTAATACGACTGATTAACTATGTTTACTTTTTTTTAATCACCTACCCCCATAAAATATAACAAGCATAATATAATAAAAGACCTGAATAAAAATAAGACTGGTGATCCATTATTTTTTTTAGCGATCGATGTAACATTAAAAATTATATGTGCATATATAGTATAATTTAAATCTAATAATGAGCAGATCACAAAAAATATACCAATCGTTTAAAAAAACTGGAAAAAACGTGGCTGTTTCACGATCTGATCTTATAAACGCGACGATTGACAGACTTGCTAAATTCGACTTACTGACCCCAGAACAAAAAATGGAAGTCCCAAATCCTTATCAAGATCCGATTTATGTTAAAATGTCCGAAGGTAAGATGGTTCAGGTTCCTGTTTATATTCAAAATTACGCGATTGCCAAAAAAAAAACTAATAAAATGTCATCCCATACAAGAATTGACAAACTAAAACGTTATTCTGAATCAGACCCGTATATCATGGACAAAGATCTTAAAAACATTAAAAGCAATAATCACAGTGATTTTCTGATAAATCCTAATATAAAAAGAAGGCCGATTAGGGGGGCATCTTGTTACCCTGGCAAACACGTTGTAGATGTTGAGTTTCCATTAAATACTATGTCTCAAATCGGTTCATCACAAAATAATTTTGATTTTGCCGAGGACTATTCCCTATTAGAGGACGACGAATTTAACAAATATGACCCATTGACACCTAATTATATGTCATGTGGCATATCTGGTAAATGCAATAATAAATATCTTGAATACAACAACAACGACAACAATAACAATAACAATAACACGAGTGACGATTACCAAATTGATGATTACCAAATTGATGATTATCAAATTGATGATTATCATAATGACAATTATCACGATAATGACTTTGAAAATAACGAGGACGAATTTAATAACTATTATATAGAAAAAGATCATGACATAAAAAATGACAATGATGATATTTTTGAAGATATGTATGGTAATATTGGCAAAGATAACTGCGACAACACATATAAATATCTTTTTTTTATTCTTTTAATCGCCGGAGTTTTATTTTACAACTACAAATTGAACACTGATTTTAACCCAAGGTACTAAAATATGATTGGAATAGGAGATCAGGAAAACACAAACACAACTAATTAGTTTGATTTTTTTAATATAATAATTATAAATTGACAAAATAAATAACCATTGTGGCTGATTAACCAACCATGTTTACTTTATCTTATGCTCCCTTTTAGTTTGTAACAATTTTGCTTGTAACGTATTTGGTTTGTAACTATTTTACTTAAAATATATTTAGTAAAAAACATATTTAGTTTGTGACAATTTTAGTATGTAACAATTTTACTTGAAATATATTTAGTAAAAAATATATTTAGTTGCAACAATCTTAGTTTATAACAAACTTAGTTCGTAACCAAATTACCTATTTAGTTTGTGACAATCTTAGTATGTAACCATTTTACTTGAAACATATTTAGTTTGTAATAATCTTAGTTTATAACTATTTTACTTGAAACGTATTTTGTAAGAAACATATTTAGTTTGTAACATATTTAGTTTGCAACAACACCAGTATAAAACATTTTTTAGTATGAACGGTTTTAGTTGAACATGATAATTATGAGGCGTTTTTGGTATGAGCTGTTTTAATAAAAACAAAATAAGTACAAAGCAGTTTTAGTATGAGCAGTTTTAGTAAAAACACAATAAGTATGAAGCATTTTTGGTATAAGTATTTTTAGTATGAACATAATAAGTATAGTTTTAGTATGAACATAATAAGTATAAATAGTTTTAGTAGAAACAAAAAAAGCTTGTAACATTTTTAGTTAAAACATTTTTAGTTGAAACATTTTTAGTAAGAACAGTTTTTGTTGAAACAAAATAAGTATAAAACATATTTAGTTTGTAACAATCTTAGTATGTAACTAATTTACTTGAAACATTTTTAGTATAAACATTTTTAGAATAAGCAGTTTAGTATGAACAGTTTTAGTAAAAAACAAAATAAATGAACAGTTTTAGTATGAACAGTTTTAGTAAAAACAAAATAAGTATGAAACATTTTTAGTATGAACAGTTTTAGTAAAAACAAAATAAGTATGAACAGTTTTAGTATGAGTAGTTTTAGTAAAAACAAAATAAGTATGAACAGTTTTAGTAAAAACAAAATAAGTATGAAACATTTTTAGTATGAACAGTTTTAGTAAAAACAAAATAAGTATGAAACATTTTTAGTATGAACAGTTTTAGTAAAAACAAAATAAGTATGAAACATTTTTAGTATGAACAGTTTTAGTAAAAACAAAATAAGTATGAAACATTTTTAGTATGAACAGTTTTAGTAAAAACAAAATAAGTATGAAACATTTTTAGTATGAACAGTTTTAGTAAAAACAAAATAAGTATGAAACATTTTTAGTATGAACAGTTTTAGTAAAAACAAAATAAGTATGAAACATTTTTAGTATGAACAGTTTTAGTAAAAACAAAATAAGTATGAAACATTTTTAGTATGAACAGTTTTAGTAAAAACAAAATAAGTATGAAACATTTTTAGTATGAACAGTTTTAGTAAAAACAAAATAAGTATGAAACATTTTTAGTATGAACAGTTTTAGTAAAAACAAAATAAGTATGAAACATTTTTAGTATGAACAGTTTTAGTAAAAACAAAATAAGTATGAAACATTTTTAGTATGAACAGTTTTAGTAAAAACAAAATAAGTATGAAACATTTTTAGTATGAACAGTTTTAGTAAAAACAAAATAAGTATGAAACATTTTTAGTATGAACAGTTTTAGTAAAAACAAAATAAGTATGAAACATTTTTAGTATGAACAGTTTTAGTAAAAACAAAATAAGTATGAAACATTTTTAGTATGAACAGTTTTAGTAAAAACAAAATAAGTATGAAACATTTTTAGTATGAACAGTTTTAGTAAAAACAAAATAAGTATGAAACATTTTTAGTATGAACAGTTTTAGTAAAAACAAAATAAGTATGAAACATTTTTAGTATGAACAGTTTTAGTAAAAACAAAAAAGTATGAAACATTTTTAGTATGAACAGTTTTAGTAAAAACAAAAAAGTATGAAACATTTTTAGTATGAACAGTTTTAGTAAAAACAAAATAAGTATGAAACATTTTTAGTATGAACAGTTTTAGTAAAAACAAAATAAGTATGAAACATTTTTAGTATGAACAGTTTTAGTAAAAACAAAATAAGTATGAAACATTTTTAGTATGAACAGTTTTAGTAAAAACAAAATAAGTATGAAACATTTTTAGTATGAACAGTTTTAGTAAAAACAAAAAAGTATGAAACATTTTTAGTATGAACAGTTTTAGTAAAAACAAAATAAGTATGAAACATTTTTAGTATGAACAGTTTTAGTATGAGTAGTTTTAGTAAAAACAAAATAAGTATGAAATATTTTTAGTATGAACAGTTTTAGTTTGCTACAATATTAGTTTGTAACATATTTAATATGCAACTAATTAATTTACTTAAAACATAATTTAGTGGAAAATATTTTAGTATGTGACATTTTTAGTTTGTGGTAATTTTAGTTTGTAACGGAATTAGTATGAAACACTTATCACAAACAAATTTAGTATGAACAAATTGACTATCCATGATTACATTTTCTTAATCTTCCACCCTCGAAGCAAATTATGTATGTAAAATTTTTAGTTTGCAATAAGGTAGGAGATTAAAACAGCATAAATTATATCGTCATCGTGGATTCTTTTTTATTTAATTTACCTAAAACGAAATGACTCATATTGTTTTTAGGTAATTTCATTTTTGTCGTTTTGGTGCAGTTTTTTAAAATTATTTATGTGTTTATTAAAATAAAAAAAACCATATAGTGCTAGCAAACAGATCGTGAAACATATTTCATAAATGACATAATTAATTGCCCAAAAACAGTTTTAACACGAAACATATTTTATAAAAGAGGCATAATAACAAACTATTTTACCATAACGTATTTAATTGTTCAGACATTTGTTTTAGCTTTTTTTCTTTATCAGAAACGCGTCGACCAAACGACGATATTTCAACATGTTTATTGTTTTTTTTAATTATATCATAAACAGATTTATAAATGTCTTCAGGTGTTCTTCTTCCATTATACACGTATGAATTGTCGTTTACAGTAATTTTTAATGTCGGGTATCCAAAAGATCTAACATCAGATCCGTCAATAATTCTGTCATTTTCGGCAAGATTTCCAATGGACTGTTCTTCGTAATCCTCAAACTCTATATTTTTACATGCATTGGTATCAGAAGACATTTTTTCCCATACAGGTTTAAAATTATTGCAATGACCGCACCAATCGGCGTGGAACAGCGTTATTTTAATTGGTTTTATTGGCATTTTTAAGATCGTGTTTTATAAGTAAGATAGAAAATATTATCGATTTACACCCACCCTTGAAGATTTATTAAAACAGGACATTATTATATATATTATTTTTACCATCATTAACATCAATGACCATATTCGGTTTTTTTTTATTTATATAGTTTTTTTTAACACGTCTGTATGTAAACTGTAATAGAGCCAAACTAAAAACCCCTGGTGCGACATAAGGTTTTAGTCTATATGGCGTAATCAACTTAAAAATTTGGTTTAAAAAAAAACCACCCGTTAAACCATATATTGTATATACAATTGGGGATTCAACGAACTCATTTTTGTCTAAATTTAAAATTAATGTGGCGAACCATAAATGGGTATATTCGTTGTCATTATTTACATATAATTCGAAATATTTTTGTAAAATTACTCTTCCATGTTTTAATAGAGTAACAGCAAATTCCATATTAGTCTAATATATTTAGTACTATTATAACAAAAGTTTATTATGGCATTGATGTCACATTAAAATCATCAACATATGGTATTTTCAAATTTTTAGTATATTTAATATAAAACACATATTAGTCCAAATAAGGCCCTTTTTGGTAAAGATTCATATTGTTAAAATCGTAAAAACTTGGTACAGGTGATCCGACTAAAGCAAGTTTCGATTCCGCATATTTTGCGGTATTATTTGGGTTACGATTCGTTATTTGATCGTATAATTCACTGTAGTTACCAATTTTTTTGTTTATGCACGGTGTATATCCACCTATCATAAAATATGCAAAAAGTAAAAACATAACGACAAATGCAGTTTTTATTATTGTGTCAGTACTCATTATTTGATATAGATGATTATTATAAAATTATATTGTAGAATGAATATACAACCCTAAATTATGGGCAATAATTACAATTTATTATTAGCGTTCATATCATTGACATTGACAATAACATTGATCCTGTTTGTTGTGTTTTACATTAAACATAATGCCACATCAATAGATAAACAAAATAACGAGCATTATACATTCAATCTAGGTAAATCAAAAAAACACAATTATTCAATAAATTCAAATAAAAAAATGTTTTTTTACTGGCCAACTCTTGACGATCCTGTTAACGGTCCGCCAGTATTTAACAGTATTTAACAGTTTTTAACAATGTTTAATATGTTGCTAAATTAATTTTAATTACAATTACAACACCGCTATTTATTTTTGGATTATCATAATAATTATTATCAATATCATGATCATATTCACAATCGTTATCGATGCCTGCGTCAGATCCAAGACTAATTGACAAATAATGATCATGTTTTGCCTCGGGATTATATTTGATAATTAAATCGCGTATGCTTTGCGAATCGTAATTATCGCTCAATTCGTCAAATTTAGAATATATAATTTTGTCACCGTCAAAAATAAAGTCAATACTCATTTGAGTTTGTGTGTTTTTTTCAATTAGTAAAACACTGTTCCATTCATTAAGCAACTCTCCCAGTGTTTTATCTGGATCGACATTAATTTGTGTCCAAATACTATATAACTTACCGTCAATGTTTGTTAACTTTGCTGGATAAGATTCACCAAAACTAAATAACTGAACTGCAAGATTAAAAGACCCATATCTGTATTTTTGGATCGTATTATAAGTTTTATTTAGTTGACCGTATATTGTTTTATATAGTTCAAGTGCAACAAAACCCGACACAACTGATGTTGTTGTTGCAATTGCTGGAATGATTTTCCCCGCAATTCTCTTTGTTTCGAGCCTGTTTTTTGGTTCAATATTGTAAAATTGCGATCTAATATTTGAAAACGCCGTAATAAAATCGATATGGTGATTATGGTCGTCGTCTTTTTCAAAATTTATGATTGAAACGTTTAAAAAACCCGATTTTTTAACAAGTTTATTTATTGTTTCAATCATTTTGGTTATTTTTTTATTATTTACACATTCGGCATTTTTTGGTATATTAGGTGGAACTTTCTTACTTAAAATCGCATTGATATTGCCAATTTGTTTTTCTTTTGGAATATTTAAAACATCGGCCCATATATGTGCAAATGCAATCACAAATTCGATATGTGAATTATTTCTAATGTCAAATTCATGGATTGTTGGAAACATTTTGTTGCCTGACCAAAAACGATTGCCGTCTTCGTCGACATAATTTTCGGGATATTTTTTAACAATCTGCACAACAGGATCCCTAAAAACATTGTGCCATTGTTTGTAAGCAAAATTAACACAGCATTTAAAATTATTGCTATTGTTTGCAATAATAGTCACGTCATTTAGAATTTCCGATATTTCTGATGGAGACAATGTTTTAAGATTTTCGGGATTTTTCGCCTTAATATAATTTGACGGAACACGATTAAACAATCCTTCAAAACTATCTATTGCGTATTGTACAACATGCTCATATTTATATGGGAACATTTTAAGTGTGCATGTCGCGACCGTTTGTTCGGGTTGATCGGAGAAAGAGCCGTATGATTCTGTTAAATCTGGAATAATAGTTTGAATACTTCCTTTTGTTCCTTGTGTTCCGCATTCAAGAAGTGGTTTTCTATATTTTATACAAAGCGAATCGACAAAAACACGCGATTCAACATTATCAAGAGCATTCGCAACAATGTCAATTGACTTAAAAAAATCCGAATTGTATATGTTATTTGTTTCATCGCAAACCTTATTTTTATGGGCAATAATATCAACATCACAATTTATTTTTTTGCCCTTTTTTGCAGCAGTCATGGATTTTGGCTGATTAATATCAGAATGTCTAAAAAGAAACTGTCTATTCAGATTGGATTTTTCAATATGATCCATATCAGTAATGATAATTTTATTGACACCCATCATACTAAAATTCTTGATATGTTCGCATCCTATGGCTCCGGCGCCGACCACGAAAATATTTTTTGAATGTAATAAATTCATATAATCCGAACCAAACACGACAATCTGACCGTCATATCTAGAATTAGTTGGTGTATATAAATGTTTGTTTGTTCTTCGGTCCTCAATATAGTTATCGGGAAGAACATTGAGTGACTCAAAGTGGAGAAATTGTTTTGTTGGTGTAAATTTATTTGTTACAGCTTTAATTACCTCTTGGGCGCAAATCGATCCGGCTATCGCATCAATTCCGCATATACTGCCATAACACGTTTTGGCCAACAGCTCAAAAACCTTGTCAAATTTAGAATTATTTATTTCCAAGTCAAATATTTTTTTAAGCGAATCGATTTCCTGATCTGACATTGGAAAAGCTAAAACGTCAATATGTTTGCAATCCGATCTCCATATTCCCAATGCTTTCATAAACACGTTGAGAATTTTTGGCATGTCATAGTCAACATTATCTATCATAGCAAACTCGGGTGTCTTTAGCGATTCTTCCAAAGATCTAAAAATAAAAGTCACAGGAAGCTTAATTTGCTTAAAAATTAAATTAACGGGTTTTGAATCGGGAAAAGCAATCGGATCAGTACGCAATATCACAATTTGGCGTTCTCCATGGCTCATTTGTTTATGAATCTCTAAAAATTCCCTTAGTTCAAATTCATGGGCATTTATAATATTAACAAGGTACAGATTTGGCTCGCGATCCGTTTTTGATATCAAACCATCAACATTTCCCTCAAAATATATGACATCACCAGAATAAATGTTATGAAGGTCAAATGTCCTAAATTTGTTTTTAATTATAGATTCAACAATACCGCTATTTATTGGCTCCCCGTCTATGTCTGCTACAACATGTTTGTCACCGAAATCACAAAACATATTAAATAATAGACCAAAAGATTGCAACATAATAAATTTAACACCGTTAGTCCGACATTTTATATTCCAATCATAAAGTTCATTAACATCATAGTCACAAAAAACCACACAATTATATTCATTTATCAGAGTATCCGTAATTAGATTACAATAGCCAACATTGACATAATGATTAAGATCCGCAATACGTTTTGCGACTTTTTTAATGAATGGTTTCCCAATATCTTTTGGTGACACATAATAATTTGAACTTAAATCTCTGTAAGTAAGAATATCTTTGTTTGCATGTAACGTAACACGCTTTAGCCCGGCAAGAACTACGCATTTAACCAGCTCTATCGCAGATCCCGAAAAGTTATATTTGCAACTTATTAAAACAGACGATTCGGTAATTTTTGTCATTGCATCCAGACCAATCGCATATAATTGCCTCGAATATAGAGATTCATCAATTTTATTTTCCATTTTAATTTAATTATCGAATGTATTTAAATATTAATTGTTTTATTTAATAAATAAACTTATTATCAATTTTTTAATTGACATAATAAAATAAAAATAAAAAAAACACGATATTTATTAATTATAATTGGGGGTTGGGATTGAAGTTGAAAACAATATAAATTATTGTCAGTAAATGTTCTTTTTATTTAATTTAATTTTGGGTAATTTTGTTATTGTCGTTTTAGCACGTTTTTTTAAGAAAAAAATATAAAAAGTGTTAACAAAAACAGCATAAACATAAACAAGAAATTAAAACACAACTAAATCAAAAATATAATAAATTGGCAAAAACAGGCACAATTGGTTATCCATGATTACATTTTCTTAATCTTACACCCCACAATTTTACCTGAAATATTTTTAATGTGAACGATTTTACTTGAAACAATTTTAGTATGAACGATTATACTTGAAACATTTTTAGCATGAACTATTATACTTGAAACAAATTTGGTATGAACAGTTTTAGTATGAACAAATTTACTTGAAACAATTTTAGTATGAACAATTTAACTTGAAACAAATTTGCTTGAAACAAATTTAGTATGAACGATTATACTTGAAACAATTTTAGTATGAACAATTTAACTTAAAACAAATTTAGTATGAACGGTTATACTTGAAACAAATTTAGTATGAACGATTATACTTGAAACAATTTTAGTATGAATGATTTAACTTGAAACAAATTTGGTATGAACAGTTTTAGTATGAACGATTTAACTTGAAACAAATTTGGTATGAACAGTTTTAGTATGAACAAATTTACTTGAAACAATTTTAGTATGAACGATTTATCTTGAAACAAATTTGGTATGAACAGTTTTAGTATGAACAAATTTACTTGAAACAATTTTAGTATGAACGATTTAACTTGAAACAAATTTAGTATGAACGATTTAACTTGAAACAAATTTGGTATGAACAGTTTTAGTATGAACAAATTTACTTGAAACAATTTTAGTGTGAACAATTATATTTGAAACAATTTTAGTGTGAACAATTTAACTTGAAACAAATTTAATATGAACAGTTTTAGTATGAACAAATTTACTTGAAACAAATTTAATAAGTAATAAATTTACTCGAAACAAATTTATTTTGAGCAGTTTTTAGTATGCAATAAATTTACTTGAAACATTTTTAGTATGTGGCAAATTTAGTATGAAACATTTATAGTATGTGGCAATTTTACTTGGAGCAAATTTAGTACGTAACGATTTTGAATTGAAACAAACAATACATAATAATAAAAAAGCGACATGTAAAACTAAAACTGAACCAAGCAAAAAACTTGATTAAACTAGATGAAAAAGAAAAAGCAATAATTTGGCGTTTAGAATTAAATGGCAAGAAAAAAGAACCACTCTTTTGACATATATTAGATAAAGTATTTACATAAAACAGATATAATGTAATATAGGCTGACCAATTATGTTCATAATTCTTTAGTCTTCCGCCCACAAATATATGTGTTTAATGACTATTTTTTTCATTACTGAATAATATTTGTTTTTTCGCACTTAATAACCGATTTTTTCAATAGTGGATAAACATGAAAACCCGAATTTGTTTTTACGTAAAATTGTTTTTTATCGGAATTAATATAAATATCAGACTCACAAAAATCCCTTTCATTGGGTTCGTAATTACCAATCCCCTTTATTTTGAGGGCGTACAATATTTTATCGTCTTTGCCTGCAAATTCAACACACGTATTACTGCCATACTTATTTTTTAGTTGTTTTGTTATGTTTTTTTTAATTATGTTCATCGCATCGAGTTCATTTTTATTTTTATTTTCATTAATAGTGTTTGGTTCCTTTATGTTATATTTATCAATGCCAATATCCATGTCTTTGGTTAAAAGACGTTTCATTATAAGAATTTGATCATGCAAGTCTTTGTCATAGTTGGTGGATTCGTAAATTTTAACATAAGGTCCGAGTCTGATTGACGGAAGAAAACATTTCAAAAAATATATCGAACATATTCTAAAAGCACATCGGACGATTTCGTTCATTGTTTATATGATTGAGATCTATAAATATTTTTTATAATAAATAAACAAATCAAATGTCAACAATGTCTGTCTTTTGTTAAATTCGCCAACTTGATTTTGTAACATAACTCTTCTTTAATTTTAACTAATTTTAAATAATTACATAATATCTCTTTTTCCATTGTTACTCTATATAACGCATTTTCAAAATGTTTAAGATGATAGTCTATGTCCCAACACTTTATTAGATCTTGTTCAACATACATTGAACTATCGGGAGTCGTACCAACCGGGCAATTACATGGAGGGATTGGTGATGTGTTATAACTAATTATTTCCCCTTTGCTAAGAGGTGGATAACAGTATTTTTCGAGTTTAATATGTTTTGGGGATACTTTCATAAGATTTACCTTAAAGTACGAATGTTCTTTACCAACGCGTTGTAATAACACTTTGTTGACAACATCGTCCGTACAGATAAAAAGTGGGAATTTTATTGATGATAAAGGTTTTTTGCGATTATGCGCGCTATTATAGAAAATGGGCATATTTTTGTAGTACGATGTTTTAATTGTAAAATCCGCCTCTTTTAACATACTGCATAATTTAATTCTTGCCGCGTTATACGTCATATAGCTATTGCATGTATTACAAATATCTGACATACATTGATATGCCTGTTCCAAGATTAAAATATATGTGTCTAAATAAATTTGGCACATATTGAGATAACTTTTAATATTTTCGATATTTTTGCATACCAACTCCATATGGTTGTCAAAAACATGTATGTCTAATTTATTCCGATCAATATTGTCACATTCTTTCTTTTGTTTTTGTAATATTCTTTTTCGAATTCTTGAAAGCCGGGTCTCGTTGCTGGTAACACGTTTGGATAATAAATCGTCGGATTTTTTTAAATACAAATCTTTATGGCACTTTGCATGATTATTTGACTTTGACGCATTGTGCTTTTTGGATTCAATGGACTCATTGGATATGGATATGTCCGATACGTCAGAAATGACGGACAGTTTTGATATGGCAGATACGTCGGTTTTTTCCGACATATCATTGTTATACATATTCATATTCATATCGGAATCATTGAATTTGTTAGATTTATCTTGAATATCAAAATATGTTTGTCCAAAAACATTCGAACTTTTAATATCATTGTCTGACATATTCGATTTATTCACGTTATGACATTTGTTGTTTAATTGACGATTTGCCAACATATAACTGTTATCAACAAAAAACTCATCAAAGCTGTCTTCATTGCAAAAATTGTTCGGCCTATACATATGGTTAAATTCAGGACTATTGTCGGTATTTGAATTTACCATGTCTTTTCTTTTCACCCCACACCCACAATTGTTATTTCTGTAAATTTGTTTTTGGCAATTTTTGTTATGTGAGTTGGACAAAACACTAATTTTATCTTTCTCTTTCCCTTTCTCGCCAATGTACGCATTTAATTTGTTGACTTTTAATCTTGTTTTTCCTTCTAACCCCTTGGCGTCAATTAACACGCATGGCTGGTTAGGAGTAGGAGACCGGTAATTGTTATTATTCTTGTTGATTACACAATTATAAATAGTTTTGTCTGATTTATTTTCGTTTACATCAAATGTTTTTGTTTTAGTTTTTATTTTGTTTTCTATTAAACTAATGTCCGTATCACTGTCTAAAAAACTATCCGACCCCAATGTTGTGTTTGTTAAATAAGATTTGTCATTTTCGCTGTAATCGTAATTGGAATTGTAATCGTAATTGGAATTGACCAGTGTTTCAGATCTATCGGAATTCAGTACTTTTTCAATATCATGCTCCAGATTTTCCGAGTCAGACTGCCCGTTATTATTTTTTTTCTTTTTTGGGAATATTTTTGTATTACCTGCACTGGAGTCATTTGTTTTTGTTTTGGCATCCACATTTTGTTTTTTATAAATTTTGTCGGAAAATATGTATGTGTCTGCATCGGAGTTAGTTTTAGAAATATTGTTTGTGTCATTAATTAAATCAACGGTCTCGGATTTAATTTTGCATCTACACATAAATGGCGCATGTTCCCCTAACTCCTCACATTGATTGACATAATAGCCTTTTTTTGATCCAATCGTTGCCCAATGTTGTTTTACTTCCTTATTATTACCCGTAATACTGTATTTTCTTTTGTAATACTCCGGATCAAAGTTCATTGTCTGGCAATAATTTATTTCTGTGTCACGATTGGGAAAATACCCTTGTTGTTTCCCAATTTGGATGTAATGGTTAATAGCCTCTTTTTTATTGTTAAATTGAAGACCATATTTTGTTTGATAATAGACTGGATCAACGTATGATGATTTATTGTATGTTTCCATGTGTATATCACTATTAATACCCATTACAAAGAAAATTTATCACTCAGTATTTAAAATCTAAGCTAAAACGTGTCGTTTTTTTCTTTTTGTGTCGAACTATATGAAAAATAAACATAATAAATCAACCTATTTTTCGGTTTATTACGTTAGTAATGAGATTAATATAATAAAACGCATAGTATTTAAATGTTTCCCTGAGGCATTCGGTATTTTGTTATTTAACCTATTGCCCTGCCTAATTACCAAAAAAACACAAATTAATTAAACCATTTATTTTATAATGAAATTATGGCAAATCGACAAAAAACAGATGTTACTGACCCTGATCAATTTACCACCCGTTTACCACCCCATTTAATCATCTAATTTGGTTATTTAATCATCTAATTTGGTTTCCTCATTATGATTCGAGTCATTTTTTTGATTTTCAACAACATCTAAAGGCCGATCAACTGCAAGACATTTTCCATATTCTTTAAAAACATAATTAAGAGACCTGTTAAAAAGCGCATAGACCGCGAGTTCTAAACAATTATAATCAATATGTCCACCTTTAGATATAAGATATTTTATGGTCGGAAAGTTGTTTT